GAAACCCGGGCTTGCAGTTCCCGCAAAAATAAAAGACAGTACACGGTTTTATCCTTACTTTAAGGTATGTGATTTCTTCTACTCTTTTTTTTTAAGTAACTCCAAAATATTTAAAATATATATACATATTTTTTTGAAGGATTGTGTGGGTGCTATTGATGGAACACATATCCTTGCAATGGTAGCTGGAAAAGACACAGCTAGTTATCGTAACCGAAAAGGACAATTATCGCAAAATGTTTTGGCCGCATGTAATTTTGATTTAGAATTTATATATGTTCTTAGTGGATGGGAAGGTTCAGCTCATGACTCAAAAGTATTACATGATGCTTTAACACGAAACACTAACCAATTAAAAGTTCCTGAAGGTATGTCATTTATATTATGATTAAAAAAAATTTGTTATTCAATTTCATCTAATCACTTGTGTGCTTTATGAAATTTCAGGAAAATTTTATTTAGTTGATTGTGGATTCGCCAATCGTCGCAGTTTTTTAGCTCCATTTCGAAGTACTCGCTATCATCTCCAAGACTTTAGGGGACAAGGAAAAGATCCCGTAAATCAAAATGAGTTATTCAATCATCGTCATTCTAGTTTACGAAATGTGATAGAGAGGATTTTCGGCATCTTCAAGTCAAGATTTCTCATCTTCAAATATGCACCACCCTTTCCGTATAAAACGCAAGCGGAGTTAGTACTTGCATGCGTTGTTTTACATAACTATCTTCGTAAAGAATGTCGTTCGGATGTGTTTCTTCCAGAAGAAAACGATGTTGAAGAAAGCGGTGTTGACGAAAGAGATGATGCTGAAAATAATGCAAATGAAGAGCTTCAAGGTACTCAAGATCAACAAAGAGTTCTTGCTAATAATTGGAGAGCATCAATAGCTACACATATGTGGACAGATGCTATGAATATGGAATCATGATGCAATATGAGTACTTATCTTTATATTATTTTTGGATTTTTCAATTGAATCTTTTGTGTTAGACGGTTTGGATCGATTTGAATTATTTTAACTTGGTGAAATAAAGCTTTTTCTGGATTTGATATGAATAATGATGTGTGGAAGGTTTCGTGATTGCACAACGTTTTTGTTTTGGTAAAATTTTCATGGTCTCTCATGTTGTTGTGATTGTGTTTCACTATCTGTAATAAACGGGAGGCTAGTCATAATCTGCTTATTTTATCTCCTCTCACACAAATATATGCATAATCTGCTTCAGTCCATTCTTCACCACATTGGTCACAAGCGACAATGGAGGGTCTGTTTCAACTCTCTATAGCACACATGTATCATTTGAGTTTGTTGGTTTTTTAATTGTCTCTCTGATCTGTTTCTCCTGAGAATATGTCAAAAGCCCAATCATCACTAGTTTTGAATCTGTTCTTGACGTTAAACATGTTCATCATATATCCTTCTTTTGTTTTTTTAACATGTGATAATCTTTTAAAATCACCCAAAATTCTTTTTAAAATCTCACCAAATGTCATCAAATCTCAAGCTAATTTCATTTTTTTAAAATAGGAAACAATAACAAATCCACCATAATACCTTAAAAACTCACTTAAATCTCCTAGAATCTCAAATATTATAAATTCCACAAAATCCTTCCAAATCATGATTTGAATACACCCCCCTAATACTAGCACAGAGACTACAGAGCATCACGCGTGACTCACGTGACACCTTCTTTAAAATAATTACGACAGGATCTGTAAGTACATTACGTTTAGACTTTAATTTGATCCGTTTTGGTAATGAAATAAACAAAAAACAATGGTCTAAAAGGAGTCGATTTAAATTTTGTTGACTACATAAAAATATTACTGTAGTATGATTATTTTCTATTTACTAGCACCTACATTTTATAATGTTTAAATATGTATTATTAAACAGTTTTGCATGTATAAATCTTTATCTGATTATTAGAAATTTTGAAAAAAATTTGAACACTAAACCTTCATTAAAATATAATATATACAAGAAAAAAAAAACACAGGAAAAATAGTAATCTTCCCAATGAGTTGGCTTCTTGCTTTGTTCAATTACGAAAGCAAAATCAAAAGCTCTTAAACCCAACCAAAAGAACAAACAACTCCAAATCCACAATTCGATTTCACCAAGAACTTAAAATCACACAGATCCATTCCCGAATTCAGATTTGTCTAAAGGGTTTATCTGATTCGTTCTCTCTCTGTGATCTGTAAGTAAAGTTCTTACCTTTAAAGAATGTCTCAGAAACATCTAGAGCCATCACGAAGCTCAATTGAGTCTTGCACTTCACAGCTCCTCTCATGGCGACCATTTCAACGCTCCAAAACCCTAGACTCACCTGACCATCCACCGCAGACCAATGGGTTTCACTCCACTACTAAACGCCCTTGCTTCTCCGATCGATCCACTTCTTTCTCCATCGAAGCTATGAGCCGTCTCTCACTCGCCGACGACGACAATGGTGGGAAGACGTTATCAGCTTCCAATTACAGCAATAGAGGAAGTTTCCGGTTAGTAGCGAGGAAGCGACGGCGGCGTAACTCGAGATCGGTGTCTGGTCGGAGTAGTGATCGGAGTGGGACTCGGAGATGTTGCTCCATTGGAGCTCATGGGACTTGCTCGGATTTGCCTTTCGCCGTCGGTACAGATTCGAGTGGAGAGCTTTTTGGTGAAGCGAATTGGGGTTCTGATGTGAGTGAGGCGGCGAGGAATTCACGGAGAGAGCGGCGAGATTCCGGCGGTGAGAAGGAAGCTTCTGGAGGATTCGGATTCGCCATTGGGATTGATCCGATGGGGAATGAGTCTGGGTATGGGAGTGAACCTGGTTACAGAGGTGATGCTGAGTTTGGTTATGGTGATGAGTTCGATGATGAAGAAGAAGATGTTAAGCCATTGTTTTGGGGAGGTACTTGCTATTGAGATTCTTGGTTTTTAAGATTAAAGATAGAAACTTTGATGTTGTTTGCCACTTTTTCTGATCAACGACTCTGAGTTTGCTCTGCTTGTCTATTATGGTCTTGCCTGATGTCATGTAGCAGAACATAGGAATTGTTAGAAAGTTGTCATATTTGGGTTTAGGGAATGATATAAATGGTGAAACATCAATCTAGTCCAAGCCAACACACGATTTGTTTTATACATTGTGGTATTTGGTTTTAGCATTGTTAGGTCTTTGTCTGGCATGTGATTGATGATTGTTTTGGATTTGAAGCAGATACAGATTCAACAATGGGGATGGCTGGTGATACGAAATTCTCAGATAATAAACCTCAGTTCAGGTGCCGCCGCAGAAGACAACATGACTACAAAACTGTTGACTCCATGAGATGAACTCAAGAAGCACATTACTATGCAATCGAAGCCAAGTCGGACTTCCGACTATTGGGGGAGCAGGTTTTAATATGAGATGGACATTACCATTCAATTCGAAACCAACCCTGACCTCTGGTTAATATGGAAGCTTTTCCGGTCTGGTTGAAATACGATCAGCTCATCCGCGCTAATGATGATTCGCATACACAAGGCAAGAAGTCTTGTTGGAGAAACTTTGCAGGTTTTATATGCATTTTGACTCCTGAAAATATAGAGCGCTCTCCTCAAGTAAATTTTCTGGAGACATGGAACAGGTTCACATAGGTAGTGACTTAATGTTACAACAATCAATGAAAATACCAAAATTGGTTTATAGTCTTTTGTATTATGTGGCGAAAAGATTAGTAGCCAAGAGTAAACATAATCCGGGGGTCACCATTGACCCTGAATTATTTATTTTAAAAAATGAAATTACATATTTACATGAATAATTAGTACAAACAATTAAGCTACGAAATTACAGTAAAACCTCTATAAATTAATAATGTTGGGACCATGAAAATCTATTAATTTATAGAGGTATTAATTTATCGATAAATTAATAATTATTAATTTATAGAGAGATTTTCCTAGTTTGAAAGTTTTTTCAGAAAAATATTTAAAACTGAGATTTAATCATGATAATTAGTATTTTATATAATCAATTAAAAAGAAAATAATAATTATTATGTCTTGAAAGATAATGCTAACAATTTTTGATATAGTAAAATATTAGAAATAAACTCTAACAAAAACTAATGTGTCTATATATACATATATTTTGAAAAATTTACCTAATTATTAATTTATAATATTATTGGGACCATATATTTACAAAGGATTTTCAAAAAAATTATTATCTTATTATTTTATCGAAATATGTCTAAAATTACACTGGTCCCAACTTGGGACCGGAGAAATTTATTAATTTATAGAGATTATTAATTTATCGAGTATTAATTTATAGAGGTTTTACTGTACCATGAATTTTCTCTTGACGATGAATGAATATTTATTCTCTTCATCATCAATGGATCGAGTTAAAGACGAGGACCTTTCTTAGAACACTTTGACAACACTACCAATCGGGTTAAAGATAAAAGACTTTTCCTTTGACAAAAGAACACTACTTTTCCACACTATCTGAGTATACACATATAATTAGAAATTTATACAATTTATAGTTTACTGAATTATTTAAGTTTGAAAATTGGAATGTTTTCAAAATAACAACCAATGATATGTTAATCATAAGTCTTTGGGCAATCACAGAAAATAAGAGAAAAATATATTTATCAGGAGGAAAAATCAACTTTTTTCTTTTTTGAGTTTTCCACGTTCTTTATAGACTAGTCGTCAAAATGTGTGAAAGGATCAAACACAATATATACAAAAAGCCAATCTATTACTATCATTTTGAACTGAAAACTCATTAAACTTTGTGTGGTATCACAATAAACTCAACACACATATCACAAGGAACCATGACGACGACTTTTCCATTGACCCACCCAAAAGAACATACGAATTTTCCAAACCCTCTTCACACCATATATAGTCGTGGTTTCTCTCTTCTCTAAAGACTAAAACCAAAGCCATAAGAAGAAAAAACAGAGAAGAAAGAATTACAAAGCCAAGCCATGTTCCTTAAGTTCCTCCCCATCGTCTTCTTCTTCAGCCTACTTCTTCAGTCCTCTTCCCAAACTCTCGACTTCACTTACAATGGCTTCCATCCTCCACTGACTAACATATCCATCGAAGGTATTGCCACCATCACACCTAACGGTCTCTTGAAGCTAACCAACATAAGCATGCAGAGAACAGGTCACGCCTTCTACACCAAACCAATCCGTTTCAAAGATTCTCCAACTGGCACTGTCTCGTCCTTCTCCACAACCTTTGTCTTCGCTATCCACTCTGAGATCCCAACACTTAGCAGCGGCGGCATGGCCTTTGTTGTTGCTCCTAACTCCACCCTCCCCTTCGGCAGTCCCTTCCAATACCTCGGCCTCTTGAACGTCAAAAACAACGGTAACGATGATGATCACATATTCGCTGTCGAACTTGACACGATTGTGAGCATCGAGCTCAATGATATAGACAATAACCATGTGGGAATCGATATTAACAGCTTGAACTCGGTGAAAAGCTCGCCTGCTGGGTACTGGGACGAGAAAGATCAGTTTAACAATCTCACTTTGATTAGTCGTATGCAGGTTTGGGTCGATTACGATGGTCATACCCATCGAATCGATGTAACTATGGCTCCTTTCAACGAGAATAAACCTAGAAAACCACTTGTTTCTATCGTCAGAGATCTGTCTTCGGTTCTTTTGCAAGATATGTACGTAGGTTTCTCTTCTGCGACCGGTTCTATGTTGTCAGAACATTTTGTTCTTGGATGGAGTTTCCGGCTGGAGGGGAAAGCTCAGCCATTGGCCTTAGCGAAACTTCCGAAGTTACCTGTGTGGGATTCAAAATCCTCGGGAGTCTACGGCTTCTTGAAGAACTCGATGCCGTTGATCTCTCTCTTATTGATTCCTCTTTTGCTTATTATTTTCCTTGTTCGCTTCATCGTGAGGAGGAGGAGAAAGTTCGCAGAGGAGCTCGAAGATTGGGAAACAGAGTTTGGGAAGAACCGACTAAGGTTCAAGGACTTGTACTACGCCACCAAGGGATTCAAGGATAAGAATCTTCTTGGATCAGGCGGGTTTGGGAGGGTTTACAGAGGTTTCTGTTGATGTATTCTTAAGTGAGTTTTAAATCAAGATGAGGAGATAAAGAAAACGACATATATGGAAGATGAAGAATGAAGATGAAGCTGTTGACATAGTGTATGTACTAGTTCAGTACTACATGAAGTAGTTCAACGAAGAAGAGCTGAAATAAGGAAATCATATATGACGGTTAATCCAAGATTTAGTAAGAAGGTTATGAAGACTAGAAGCTTGGAGAGGAGTCTAGAAGCTTGAAGAGTTTCCTTTTAAGTAGAAAAGGAAACATGAAGAGGGATTTCCTATTCCATAAAGGAAAAGGAAATTCACAAGAGATTTGGCAATTCCTATTAGAATTAGAATAGGAAATTAGGCTTGTATGGCCACGACCTATTGTGTATAAATAGGGGTGTTAAGCCTTTGTAGAGGTTAGCACAAAAGAGCAAGAGAATTCTTAGGCATTAAGGTTGTGTGGTTTCTTGTAAGAAAGCATAACGCTTAAGGGGCTATGGGGTTTGTCTTGAGAGATTCTTGGATTGTGTATAGATCCATGAACGTGAGAGATTAGATAATTGTTTGAGTGAAACTTGTAAGTTTACTAAACAGATTCTCTAATAAAGAAGTTTTGTTTTTGAAGAAACCCCTGTCTCAGTTTGTGTCTCAGTTTCCATACATATCAATAGCTCTTGCACTTTCAGTTTCTTGCCGAAGACGAAAAAGGAGATCGCCGTGAAAAGAGTCTCGAACGAGTCCAGACAAGGGTTGAAAGAGTTTGTGGCTGAGATCGTTAGTATTAGACAGATGAGTCACCGGAACTTAGTTCCTCTTTTGGGATATTGCCGCCGGAGAGATGAGCTTCTTCTGGTGTATGATTACATGCCCAATGGAAGCTTAGACAAGTATTTGTACAACAGTTCAATAGTAACCCTCGATTGGAGACAGAGGTTTAAAGTTATTAAAGGCGTGGCCTCTGCCTTGTTCTATCTCCACGAGGAATGGGAGCAAGTGGTGATTCACCGCGACATCAAAGCAAGTAACGTCTTGTTAGACGCGGAGCTCAACGGGAGAGTCGGGGATTTTGGTTTAGCCCGACTGTGCGATCACGGATCAGATCCTCAAACCACTCGAGTTGTTGGAACTTGGGGATACCTAGCCCCTGATCATGTTAGGACAGGACGGGCCACTACCGCTACTGATGTTTTTGCGTTCGGGGTGCTCCTACTAGAAGTGGCGTGCGGTAGACGTCTTATTGAGATTGTAAACTCGAGTGATGAGACAGTCCTGCTCGTGGAATTAGTTTATGGGTTTTGGATAAGGGGAAACATCTTGGATGCTAGGGATCCGAATCTAGGGTCCGAGTATGACCAGAGAGAAGTCGAAATGGTTCTGAAACTAGGTTTGTTGTGCTCTCACGCTGACCCACAGACTAGACCAACAATGAGACAAGTGCTACAATATCTAAGGGGAGATGCAATGTTACCAGATTTATCGCTATTGGACTTGGGTGAGAGTGAGAAAATGTTGGGGATGAACCATGGATTCAGTGAGTCGTCATGTATGTTTACCAGTAGATCTTCAACTGCCTATTCAGTACTTTCTGGCGGGAGGTGATTTTCGAATATCAAAATGTTTTTTTTGTTGTCTTCACATTACATAACGGTCTAGGCAAGTACTATATTAGACAAATATTTGTACTAAGTGTTTTGTGTTGTTTTACATTACATAACGGTATTGACAAGTAATATTTGTTGAAAAAAAATTGGGTTGTTTTAGATGCACGAGATAGGGGAAAATGTTGACATATTTCAGTGTAGGAATAAGTGAAACTCTATGGACTAGCAGCTTGGAAGACCAATTCACTAGTAATGATGTTGCATTTAACAAAGAGGTGATTGATGAGTGATAAGGGATTGCAAATAGAATAGAGACTAAAGGAGCAGGTCCTTATATATATGCATGGCATCAATTGTAATGTGACAAAACTACATGGAAAAGACCACTCTGTTTGAGCTAGGGAGCCAATTTGATCTATAATCTTTTGGTCTCTGTTGTATATACATATGGTTTGAAAGAATATGTTAAGCAGCCAAAATAATGTGTCTCTAAATATGGGGATAGACAAAGACTAATAATATAAGAGTCTACTTACAGTTTTGAACCACACATAAGTCACAAAACTACGAATAGGTTTTTTTTGTTGTTTGTACTTATTAATGAAATCGTATAATTTCATAGAAAACAAAATTCAAACCACTTTTACTTCAAGACTCATTTAGCTCTGAAGACAAAATCAATCTTCACAATTATCAAAAATCTTCACAGTCCACACAATATGGATGCAAAAAATTTTTTTTTCAAACTTGACAGATGCAATTTTTTTTTTTTTTTTATCCTTTGGACAGATGTAAAGTTTGTTTCCAAACACAAATTAAAAGGGCCTCAACCAACTTGTATACAATATATATGTGTCTCAAACTTGACATAGTCGAATTGAGAACATGTATATAACCTCCCTTTTATTTTATGTTAAGTTTTTTATTTTTTACTTAAAAAGAAATAAACAACTAGCAATAGAGGATACTGTATGTGGAAAAGAGATGATTGAAATTAAAAGAAAGACTTTGACTCTTTGACTTAGTTATGACTGTCCTTGTGCTAATTGAATGCCGTCGTGAAGAGGATGAACAATTTAGAGAAGAAGAGACATGAGATGAGAGTAACGAGTGTGTGGTCCAAATTAAAACCAAAATAAATGATAAAAAAAAAGACAGACTTCTTCTTATACCACAAAATGGTTTTGTTCAATTCCCACCAAAAAAAAAAAAATGGTTTTGTTCAAACAAACAAAAGATGAAAAGATAGATAGGTCCGGTTATAAATACCACAGCTGTGTTTCTGATCAAAACCGAAAAATCTCAAAGCTTATTAAGTGCAATTTCCATTTTACATTTATTTTCGGTTATCTTTTCTTAAACAGGAGAGATATGAAAAACAAATACTAGTAAACAGCATACATGTTACTAGTAAACAACTAGCATTGTAAGAGAAACGTGGAAAATAGATTTAGTTCTGGCTTTCGGTTTACTATGTTATCAGCTTCACTTGTTACACGTACTGAGACGATGATACACCATACACGTCGTATTGTATCACAATATGGCCAAATCAAAGCTTCTTCTAGTAGTATTTAGTTATTGACATTATAAGAGATTTATAGGTAAATGTTACAACGACCAATGAATGAGAAGACTAATCCTTTTTAACGAAACCAAATCGGTCTAATATAATCGTCGAGCTTATACGATTTGGCAGAACATGTCAGCCAGTCGTCAAACCAATAATAATATACAGTATCGCTGTTTTGGTTTAATGAAGGTTATGGCCTAATGATTCCTCTTACCAAGTTGTCTCTAAAACATATGGCCGAATCTAACAAGTTCTAAACAAAGACCATAAAAGGTGTTGTGGTGGTAGAAAACGACGGTATTGAGGACAAGATACAAGTTACACCAGAGACAAACACACATTGCACCACAACATTACAAATTAAAACCTTTATTTTCCCGTCGCTATATATGATTCGGTCACTCGTCTTCGTGAGTCTCTACCACATGTGACCTCTTATATAGGTTAACCCGAAACGACTTTTCCCTTGACCAATAAACAAAAACGACTTTTCCACACTCTTTGAGTACACTTTCTATATATTGTCTTTACAAACTGATCAAACACCTAAACCAAAAACCAGCAAAAATAAAACCTCTTCACCATGTTCTTCATCATCAAGCTCTTCACCATCTTCTTCTTAAGCTTCTTTTGTCAATCCCTAATGTCCTCTTCCCAAATAGTCCACTTCACGTACAATGGCTTCCGTCCTCCACCGACAGACATATCCATCCAAGGGATTGCCACCATTACACCCAAAGGTCTCTTGATGCTAACCAACACAACCGTGCAGAGCACCGGTCACGCCTTCTTTACCAAACCGATCCGGTTCAAAGATTCTCCAAGCGGCACCGTCTCGTCTTTCACCACTACCTTTGTGCTGGCTATTCACTCTCAGCTCCCCCTTGTTGGCACCCACGGCATGGCCTTTGTCGTTGCTCCTAGCCCTAGCCTCCCATTTGCCAGCCCCTTACAATACCTTGGTCTCTTTAATGTCTCAAACAACGGTAAGGATAGTAATCATGTATTCGCTGTCGAGTTTGACACGATTATGAATATCGAGTTCAATGAAACGGACAATAACCATGTTGGGATCGATATCAACAGCTTGAACTCGGTTAAAACTTCGCCTGCTGGGTACTGGAACGAGAAAGCTGATCAGTTTAATAATCTTACTTTGATCAGTAGTAAACGTATGCAGGTTTGGATCGACTACGATTGTCATACCAATCGAATCGATGTGACGATGGCTCCTTTCAAAAAGAATAAACCTAGAACACCACTTGTTTCTATCGTCAGAGACCTGTCGTCGGTTCTTTTGCAAGATATGTACGTAGGTTTCTCGTCTGCGACTGGTAATATTGTGTCCGAACATTTCGTTCTTGGGTGGAGTTTTCGGGTGAACGGGGAAGCTCAGCCATTGGCCTTATCGAAACTTCCGGAGTTGCCTGTATTGGATTCAAAACCCACGAGAGTCAAAAGCTTCTACCGGAACTGGGTGCCGTTGATTTCTGTCATGTTGATTTCTCTCTTGCTTATTATCTTCCTCGTGCGCTTTATCGTGAGGAGGAGGATAAAGTTTGCTGAGGAGCTCGAAGATTGGGAAACAGAGTTCGAGAAGAACAGATTAAAGTTCAAGGACTTGTACTACGCCACCAAAGGGTTCAAGGATAAGAACCTTCTTGGATCAGGCGGCTTCGGGAGGGTTTACAGAGGCCTAATGCCCAAGACAAAGAAGGACATCGCCGTGAAAAGAGTCTCCAACGAGTCCAGACAAGGGTTGAAAGAGTTTGTAGCTGAGATCGTTAGTATTGGACAGATGAGTCACCGGAACTTAGTCCCTCTCTTGGGATATTGCCGCCGGAGAGATGAGCTTCTTCTGGTGTACGATTACATGCCCAATGGAAGCTTAGACAAGTATTTGTACAACAGTCCAGAGGTAACCCTCGATTGGAAACAGAGGTTTAAAGTCATTAATGGTGTGGCCTCTGCCTTGTTCTACCTCCATGAGGAATGGGAACAAGTGGTGATTCACCGCGACGTCAAAGCCAGTAATGTCTTATTAGACGCGGAGCTCAATGGGAGGCTTGGTGACTTCGGTTTAGCTCAGTTGTGTGATCACGGGTCTGATCCTCAGACAACGCACATAGTTGGAACGTGGGGATACCTAGCCCCCGATCACATCAGGACAGGACGGGCCACGACCAGTACTGATGTTTTTGCGTTTGGGGTGCTCCTGCTAGAAGTGGCGTGCGGTAGACGTCCTATCGAGATTAATCACGTAAGTGGTGAAAGGGTCGTACTTGTGGATTGGGTTTTTGGGTTCTGGATGGAGGGAAACATCTTGAATGCTACGGATCAGAATCTAGGCTCCGAGTATAACCAAGGAGAGATCGAAATGGTTTTGAAGCTAGGTTTGTTGTGCTCTCACGCTGACCCACTAGCTAGACCAACTATGAGACACGTGCTACAATATCTAAGGGGAGATTCAACGTTACCAGAACTGTCGCCGGTAGACTTACGTGGGAGTGGGATCATGTTGGGAACCAACCATGGATTTAATGAGTCAGGCATGTTTACCACTGGATCTTCAGTTGCTTATTCTGTACTCTCCAGCGGTAGATGATTTTCGTATATCATGACGTTTCTAGCTATAAAGCAATTATCTACAAAATATAGAGGACCATGTTTACGTAGAATATTGTATGTACCAGTTTATTCTTATTTCTTAATGATGTTGCATGCAAATTAAAGTAGAAGTGGTTGATGTACCAAGTCATTTAAAAGGAGAAATTTCAAAGTGTATGGTCATCGAAGTATAATATGTATCAAGTGCCTTTTGTATTAGTAGTGTTTACTCAGAGGCTGAGATTTTTAAATGTTTATAGACAGCGACATATCGTCCTAAAACAGAGATAAGTCACAAAAGTTATAGGTTTTTTTTAGAATTAATTGGGTTTTTAGTATATTTTTGAAACATAATTGTAGAAGTAGTACATTTACTATTCATTATTAGCAAACTAATACATTTTTACTATTTGGACACTATTTAGAACCTATTAAAAACCCCCTTAAATCTAATAACTAAAAATATTCATCAAAATATATTTGTTTTCTATAAAATTTCAATTACATAAAAATCTATATTTTTTTCTCTATAATTTGATATGCATTTTTTTAAATATAATTTCAAATATTTTTCAAATAAATTTTGATACGTCCAGCTATCCTTATGTACAGTTGTGTGTCGATATACGGAAAATTTTCCGTACAGCGGTCTATATATACGTATAATTGTACGTGTACAGATATTTTCTGGTCTATATATGTATATTTGTTTATGTGTAAATATGTTTATATGTAGTTGTTTTTCTTTGTACAAATATTTGATGTACAATGATATGTTACTATACAGTTGTCTGTCTGTACAGATATCTGAAATAGTAAAATTGTACTATTTTGCTAATTGTGAATAGTAAATGTACTATCTTTATAATTATGTTTCAAAAACGTACTAGTTTGCCAACACACCTTTTTTTTTATTGCTTGTGATTATTTTTAGTTAAGTCATATAATTTCATAGAAACAAACTTCAAATTTTACATTATGTGTATTGTTGCGGGATAGTTGATACATTTAGACGACCATGCTTTAAGATATACAAATTTACGTTCACTTAAACTGAACATAGGGTGAAGATAGGCATATCGATACTAACTATTAATAACATAGATCCATCTAACTAATAATAACAATAAATTAATTAATGATGCATAAATAGACATATCTTAACCACTATGGACTATAGTAAGAGAGAACAAATATGTCGACCAAGAATTGAAAATGTTGTAGAGATGGGCATGTCGATGTCTCTTCCAAAATAAGAATTTACAATGAGAAGCATATTTGAACTATGATCAACTAAGCATAAAGTGGTTCTCCATACTGAAACGGAGACGTAGTAGCTTCCTGACAAAATACTAATTATGGTCAACTACAATTTACTATGTATTTGAACCCTCCTTCTCAATCAGAGGTGTTTAGCTTCTTCCATCGCCATCCAAAGTCAACGACATTATTACGGATGCAGAGTCTATGTGTTCCTTCTCCTCTGCACTTTCCGGCCACCGCACTCCGTCGCTGTCGGACTCCGACGTCCGCCGTTCGTTTGGTGAGAGCAGAGCGCAGGGAAGAGAACGACCCTTTGATTCAATCAGCTCTAGATTCAGCTTCTCTTCGTCTGAGAGAAACCAATCGAACAGGCAAGCCATCTCTCTCGTTTTCTACTAATAGACTTCAATTTTCAACTTCTATAGGATTCTCCCGAAATTACCTTCGATATTGCTAATGTTTGTGTCTTGACCTTTTCTTAGGCATTTCGTCGAACACATACCGATATAGCTTTGATCAAATTGTTTCTTTAAGAAATTTGACTAAAAGGTTTCTAATTTCTACACGCAGCGCCTCTCGTCATCGACCCTTATGCCGCTTGCTTCTTACCTCCTTACGCAAAGAAGGAATTGGACATCCATGAACAACAACATTACTGTCTTGCAACAAAGTTTATCGATGACAAGTTGTTAGAAATAGCTAAACGCATTGATGGGCTAAAGCAGGTTACTTTACCTGCTTCTTGTGTCGTTCTCAAGCATGATTTTGATTTCAAGCTCTCTTTAGAATTATACAATGTATATCACATCTTTGCAGGTTGTCTTGTTCACAGATGGCATGGATACTCGACCTTATAGGCTTAATTGGCCAACTTCGACTATGATCTTTGATGTATCACCAGAAAAGGTTTTTGAAATTGCATCTGACAAGCTTCAAGGTTTGTGATTTGCTTTGCTTTGAAGCATCCATTTTGTTTCTCTGAGATATTTGGTTATTTACTACAAGAGAACATGGCTTGTTCGCTTTTAATCATACTTAGTTTCCTGGGACTCAGATGCTCCCTAGTTTTGTTTGGGATTGTTAAACATATATTCCATGGTTCAATGTTTCAATGTTGTTTCCTCTTATTAATTCAGGTGTGGGAGCTAGGATTCCTAAAGGTTGCTTATTCTTTCATATACCCGTGGAACCAGGGAACATAGAGCAACACTTACGCTCAAAAGGGTTTAGTGGGAATCGGCCGAGTATATGGGCACTGCAGGTGATATGTGTTTTTCGTTAAATCTCCCTCCTACCATGTAATTTACATGAGTGTTATATGCTATAATGATTGATTCTATTCATAACAGGGCTTACCTCTTGAGTCACAATCAGGATTTGAAGCTATTCTATCTGCCATTAGTAGCTTGGCCATGAATGAATGCTATCTAATTGGAGAATTTCCTACAAATATTACACTCCAGGTCACTTTCATATCTTAACCATCTTTGAACTTCCTTAAAAGTATCATTCCTTATGGCGGTGTTGAGTGCAGCCAGATTTGACAAAGTGGATGGAAAAACTGTTCATGAGCAATGGTTTTAGGGTGAAAATTGTTAACTATGAAGAGATTGCTGTGAGTTTAGGCGTTGTTTTACATTCACCAGTAGTAAACCATGACTCCGTTCTATTTATCGCACAACAGCTCAAGTTCTCAGATGATCAGGTAAATATCACATGATCTCTACATTATTACTTAATATCTCAATTAATTGTCAAAATCTTGCAGATGGAAACATGGAGACGAGAATTTCAAAGAGTGGAAGAAGATGGAGATGAACAAGGATTTGAAGAACTCTAATGAAGCAAACAAAACGTATTCTTTTATAAATAAGACAGATTACAAAGCAAAACATTTTCTCTTTCGGATCAAAATTTGGGTCTAAACAAGTTTGAGAATACAAAAATCTTGGAGCTAATTAAGCTTTGGTCTTTTGCTTGGACCTTTACCAGTTTTACTGCGATTTTTGGGTTTTTGTTTTCGATTGCTTCGATGGTGTTCGTCATCTACCTTCTCGTTGGGATTCACTTCCTCAAATTTGACCGGCTTAATTATCACACCAGCTTTTTTCACAACCTACGCACAAAGTTATTCCCACAAGGTCAAAATAGATGTAACAATTTGAGTCATGGGCACTTATGAGTTTAACAAATAAATAAAAAGGAACCTCTGGTCGGTTTAGTGCTCCAACAATAGTAGCAGGATTAAACTCGGGTCCTATAGGCATGCGCATGCTGTGTTCGAAAACTTCCTTAGATGTATATGGGAAAGGTAGAGTCTTTGTATGTAGTTTGTCAGCCTGTCAAAACAGATAATGTTAGCACAAGAAGGGATTATACAAACAGAAGGATTGGGATATCAAGCGAGACCTGACCTTTTTATCTACTTTTTCTGATATGATAACATGTTTGAGACGAGCATCTTTCCTTGTTTTGAGATCTTGCTCTCTCTTTTTATTTGCATCTTCATGTTCTCTAACCATCCATGAAGGTAAACCTCTCTTGTTTTGGATATTGGTCCATTGTCCCCAACCAGGTACTAGAACCGGTTTTTCCGGTTCAGGAACTTCCTGATTTAGAACCTCTTGCTTATCCTTCTCAAATTCATCTACAACATCATCACCAGCAAAAGCACGTTGTATAAGCTCTGCTTGAGAAGGAATTTCATAGGTTTCCTTTGAAGTAGATGTTAAAATCCCATCAACCATTTGTTCTGCTTCACTCTCAGAATCTTCACTTTCTTCATCTCTCGATTCCTTTGATAATTTTAATAAAAACACACTTAAGTAAGCAGAACAAAAGGATAAAACAGAAAAGTTTTGTTAAGTTTTAAGAATTGAAACCTTTTTATCTTGTCCCTTTGAAATTGGGCCATGAGACTTTGGAGGGTTTTTGGGTTCTGCATTTTGACAGCCTTTCATCTACACAACATAGAAAAGAAGTTAATCAAAGATACCACAAACAGAAACGAAGTCTAATTTGAAAATTGCCAAAGCAAACCTTCTTCCAAGAGCCTGCCGCAAATAAGGCAACATCAAAAGTTGTCTTAGAAGCTGGATTTTGAACATCATCGAACTTATAGGGAAAAAAAAAAATCAAACAAAATAATTGATATCAGGGATTTGAAAAGGAGAAAAGAGAGAAGCATTATGTATAACAGAATGAGAAAAACCATGATACCTCTGTTATGGCTCCAGCTTTTTTAGCAGGTGAAGCCGTATCTCTAACATCCCCTGAGTCATTATTTTCTATGCCTTCCATATCATTGTCACTATCACTGTTGTCATAAAAATTGTCTGAGTCCCTTTTAGACTCTTTTGGAGCTTCGACCTTAGCAGTGGCACCAAATACTCTTCTACCACTAACATCAGCAGACTTTTTAGAATTTTCTTCTCCACCAGTATTCTCCCACTCTTCATACTCCTCAAGTGCACGTTTAGCTTCTTCATTAGCTTCCTCGTTTTTCTTTTTCATAGCACGAGACTAATCAAGCCAAAAACATTAGACTTAGTTTAGCGAATGAAGGAAAACCAGGTAAAAGAATATCAAAAATGTTTTGAGAAAGCAAAGCAAGAATTACCATGAAAGGTAATGAAAGAAGACCAGAATTGGGTACTTCATCATCTTCCACAGTTTTCAGTGTCTTCTCCCTGGCCTTTGCTATCAATTTAGAAGGAGTATCCTGATCTGAACCATCATTCAACTCTTCCTCATCGTCGCTCTCATCACTGCTACTTCCATCGTTTGTGGAGTTCATCTTTCTAGACAAAGTAGCATTTATCTGAAGTTGTTCAGATATAGCTGCCCGAGTTCCATCGTATCTCACATTCAGTCCACGGCTTAACATGCGTTTGGCCCATTTTCCGGTGTTTTTGTGCTTCAACGTCATCCGTTCCTGCATAAGCACAAAAAACGACTATTTACTACTTGACAGTGTCTTGACGTGAAATTTAGTGCAGTTAGAAGAAATTTTAGAGAACCTCTACTCGTCTAGCCTCCTGCTTCATAGCCTCTTCTTTAGCCATTTCTGGGTCCATTAGTGCTCCCATTGCCGATTTCCTCAGGTCTTTGCCTTTCAGGCGATGATAAGTTTTAGACTTAATCTTCTTGATACGTTTACTTTTCAGCTCATGGCGGAAGAGCAGGCTCCGCATCTTGGCAATGTGGTTACGGTACTTGATGTGGTCTTCCATCGACACCTGCCAGATCAAAAGTAAAATCCAAAAAGTTACATTAGAAATTCATATAAACTTATCTACAATGCAGCCACATGCCAGATCATTCTATAAGTTAAATAAGCTGTGTGCAGGAAAGAACTAGATCACAGAACTTGCCTCGTTCAATTCAAGAAGCTTAGTGCCATCTTCTTTGTGAGCCTCCCCAAGCTCATTATCATTGAGTACAGAAGCCATTTTCTTCTCAAATTCAGTCCTGGGTTGAAATTCTGATGCTATTGCGCCAACTGTAGAGTACCCAAGATTGACATCTTGGTTGAAGTAAACAGTTGGTGCCTCCCTATTCCTCTTGACCTGATGCACCCACTTACTAAACTCCTTGTCAACAAGTCCTTTCACAGCTTTCCGTTCCAGTCTTTCTCGTTCTGGCTTTGGCAGAGGAGCATGAACAACAGCTTGAGTATCTTTCTGCATCCGGGAGATCCTCTTATTTAGGTCGTTATACCCAGGTTTTCCTTGAAGAGGCGCTAAAAGGTCTTCAACTGTGAGGAGGCCTCTACCCTCCAGAACATCACGGGTAGGATTGAACTCAGACTCTGGATACGCTTCAGTATAGAGTACAGGTTTTCTCTTACTCTCTCCTGAAAAAAAGAAAACATAGGATGTTATTAATATACACAGCTGAAGATAAAAGGGAAAATCTGAGAAGAAAGTCTCAGTCTTTACCTTGAAAGGCTGCACTTGGCATTCCAGTGAGAGACTGCAACATCCGTGTGTGTCTATCATCATCACCTTCACCTTCCTCATTGTCGCTGTTCCCACCATCGTCATCATCATCTGACTCCACATTTTCATCCTATATTGATATATAGACAATTTTATCAGTAAGACATACACATACCAAGGAAAAACAACTGCCAAATCCAGATCTTAAGTAGTACTCTCATTACCATTCTATCAATTAAGAACTTTTTAAAATCTCAATTTCAATGCACCAATGGTTATCGCGTTATTGCTTAAGCAAATTCCCAAAAACAAAAACCCTAATTGACCTACAAACTAAACTCCAAAACCCCAAATTCATCTCGTCTTCTTATCACTAAAGTTAAAAACTTGCAATTCCACAGAGTGGTGGCGGCGGCGTATTCGCGAAGAGAAAGAAAGAAACCTCGAAATCTTCAGGAAGCTCGTATTCGTAGTTATCGACGCGGTCGTAGCGATTGTTCTTCCTGGACTCTTCCTCAGGTACACCTTCTTCGTACTCATACAAATCGACGTTTGCGTCATCGGAATCAATCTCGTCGTCTTCTTCGTCAGAGTTCAAAGGACGCTTCTCATTGGCAATAGTCTTCAGTATAGAGTTAGGCAAGTGAGGACCTTTCCGCTTTTTATTCTTAGCTAGGTCTTTCGAAGTAGATCTCCTCTTTTCTCCCATGGCTGCCTCTTGTCTTTCTTTTGCACAAACTCTGGTTGAGATTTTTCGTAGGGTTTCTCTTTCTATTAAATACTAATCAAATCGAGTTTCAGAGTAAACTTGTTTTAACAAGAAAAAGGAAAGTAAATAATTGAATATATATATTTTTAAACCATGATTTCTCAACCATATACCAACTAAACCGGATAAAATTCAGCATGGTTTGTGGTTTTGCTGACCGATAAACGATTAAACCATTTTTCGTCAAAATTAGATTAGGGAGTTTGAAAAAGCAGTACAACAAAATCCCAATGATTGGGTATAAAATATACATATACCAACTAAACCGGATATAATTCGACATGAATTCCGGTTTTATTGAAAAATATAAGAGCAAACCGTTTTTTCGTCAAAAACTTAAAGAAGTGGGGAAAAATAAATAAATCATTGGGTAAAAATCCCAAGCCAATTATAAAAGCTACTCGAATATTTGTAAGAAATAACAATTGTTGGGATTTTGGTAATTAGTTGTTGATGTCCAAAAAATATACACAAGTGTTAGCGCTTGTAGTTGAATTTGACTTGGATCACATAACGCATCTTGATTTGTTCCACATTGTACACTATATATTCGTTGTACAACAACATCCCCTGCAAAAACAAATGTATTAGATTTGGCTTTCTTTTGGGAGAGTTAGAGTTTGTGAATGTGTTGAAGCAAAGCACAACCTTGGGGCATGAACGTTCCACTGGTTTGCCAAGTGGAACAACAACACCGTCTTCTAGTGTTTGAGACTCGGATGGGTTTGGTGCTGTTTTCCCCACACCTTTTGTGCTGCAACCATCAGTCAATTATAATATCAGGGTTCATATAAGTACAGTACAATAACCGTAACTCATAAAATTCTTTGTGTTTTGGGATATAAGGAACTTGTGTGAAATATGAAAGAGATTATCCGTGTACCTTAGCTTCCCCGGGGGTAAATTATCCGCGTTATAATCTGAATATAGGAGTTCATTCATGTCTCCCAAAGCAACCTAGAGAAATATATATCATTAGAAGCCATAAACCGAGATATGTTGAATGCGATAAAGAGGTCCTCTTGATAAACAGGAGTTTGGTTGATTTCCGTTTGAAATGAGCAATAGAGAGTATATATACCTCACAGAGGAGTAGAACGCCATCATTAGCACCGTGGTTAGCATAGCAATAGTTCGCGCTCTTGGAGAACATATCAGCAAAGTAAACCCCTTTACCAAACATGTAACCAGTTACAGGCGCTTCAGGAGGAGCTATCCGGAGACCTGTTTGGTGCCTCATAGAAGTTTAATTCAGTATGCAATTGAAAATCCTCCAACAAAGAAGACAAAAAGGAGACACTTAGAGACAGCAAAATGAAAAACAGAGAAACTTGTTACCTTGAGATAAAATCCCGGCCCAGTTAGTGAGACGTGACCCATGCCAGAGTAGCATCCTGTTCTTCGAATTTGAAAACTACCAAGAAAAATTTAAGTCTCAGTGCAAAATTAATAAATTAGATTAACGTGTACAGTACTAACAGGAAAAATTTAAGTCTCAGTGCCAAATTAAGAAATTAGATTAATGTGTACAGTACTAACAGGCTTGAAATCCCATAGCATACCTGTTGGAATCTTTCAGCTTCAACACCTCTTGAAGCTCTAAATAGTTGAGCAATCTCAACTGTGTATCCCGAATGCGTTTTTGCATGAGTGTTCTCCATGTAGCTGGCAACCTGATTTTGGTTTTAAGGAGTAGACACCAAAAGGTTTAAAACACAAACATGTCGAAGTACTCATGATTGTGCAAAGTTCACAAACCAAAAAATTACCATAGAGAACTCTTCTGAATCGGCTCCTACTGGCGTCAAACCACAATTAAGTTGCTGGTAGTGATAATATAAAGGATCATCCTACAGCCATTGCAAAAAAAAAAAAATGTCATGTCATCAGAGAACTATACTGACTGACTTTCATGCCTCCAAAACACATAGACTGACTGACTTACCTTCAATCCTGGGTCGACCGACAACAACTTTGTAGCAAGTTCAATTTCACCTAATGCTTCAACCTTACATTGTAAAGTGATATATTAAATACAACAAAAAACATGTAGCACTCAACCATTAATTTCTGAAGACCAAAACTAGTCAAGTAGGAAAGAAACAGTACAAAGAGTTACCATTTCTATTTTCTGTTTCAACTTTTGAGGAGTGTCGATAACAAACTGACCTGTTACAACTCAGAATTCGGACGTTAGTGAATATCTTTATCTTAAACTTAAGCACAGTATAAAATGCATATGTACTTACTCATTTTCTTAAAACCAAAATCATGTGGTATCACAGTATAGAACTCTCTGCATCAATAATGACACTACGTTAGACTAGTTCAAATCTAATCTCTTTGTGCAAAACAGTTATATAATCAACTCTAGCAATTAACAAAAAGCATACCCACTCAGTTCCTCAAGCCTCTGTCTATCAAACCGCTCAATCACCTCTGATATTCTCTTCAACACTTCATAACCCTATATATATCGAAGAGAGACTATTATGTGATATCACAACAAAACTATTATTTACAGAAATGAGACCAAACAGATACTACTTTTACCTTTGAAATTGTGGACTTGCTTATCTTACCAAGTGGCAATTTGTTAGCGTTATATCCTTCAGTTACAAAAATTTAAATATATGAGAGGTTAATGACAGAAAATGGATAGGGAAAAAGGTGGGAAGTACAAACTCAGATAATGGGAGACCAGAACTAGGAAATAATATATCAGACATAAAAGCAAATGAATCTCAACCACAGCTAATTTTGCCAAATGGATACCATCATTTGAATGAAGTGATAAAAGTAAGACTTACGAACCTATTTCCATCATGTGCTGTGCCATCATGCTGACATTACATATAAGAGAAATGAACTTGGCAACCCGACTATCTAGTTTTGAATTTTCAGGTTTAACTTCGGAAGATGAATTGGGAATATCATTGACCTGAGTAAAAAGAATTGTGAACTAAGAGTAAGTGCCCATTTGAACAATGAGAAAAATTATAACTGCAATTGAACAGGGTAAACAAAATGTTAGTTCAATTTAAAAAGTTTGTTCAAGAAGTAGATATGTACTCAAGACCTCATTGTAGCAGATCCTTTGGAGCATATACCATAATACCACACAACAAATTTTAAGAATGGATTGCAGGTTCCAAAAGACTCACCGATGAATCATTCTCTTTTCCGTAATCCATTTCAAGCCATGTATAGGACTTGGGATGAGAAATAAATTCCTTTCTATCAGACCAATAATTCTTTGTCTTGTCACAGAACTTATTGGTAAATATTTCTATTGCACGATCGCATGAGTCAAAAGGCCCATCTAACTTACTTTGTCCTTTCACACCAACTCTTCCCCATCTAGTGTAAGCCATGTATGTCTTTTTAGTATCCGACTCTGCAAAAATGCGCAGTAGATTAGAGAATCATGATGGTGATTATTATCAAACCAAGAAGAATGACAAAGAGTCATCAAAATCTGTAACTGCTTCAGTAGGGTTTCAAGTTCTTCGAAAGTAGCAAAAACAGCCAAGAAACAAGGGAATTGAACTTTTTAAGATCTTGGAAGACTGACCTAGAACTTGTAGGGCAAAGAATTTGTTATTGTTATCCCTGACATTTGTCTGATTTAAGATGGCATCATAAACATCATCACCCTACAACATCCAACAAAATCCCAGTTTCTAACCACATTCATGAACAAGATGCAAAACTCAATACTAGGTTTAGAATCCTTACTCTTTGTAGAACATGGTACTGGCTCTTTATCTGATCAGGAATCCATTGATCCAATACAGCTGCACCCTTCTTTGTCGCTGTTACAATTTTCTCTTCTTTATTTTCTTCATCAAACCCATTTTTGTCATCTTCAGCTTCCTCTGTCCCTAGAAACACAATACAAAACACAATAGCAACATGAACATCGGCATAGAAACAATAATTAAACGAATTCACTATCTTCACAACAATAATTAAAGGAAGAAAAAAAAAACTCAATTTTTACCAAATTTCTCAATAGTCAAAGAGAATGAAACAACTCATTACCCGATTTGATTGGTGCTTTGGAGTCGTTATTAACGTCATTGCAGAGTCTCTCAAGAAGTTGTTTTTTGGTTCCTGTTGTATCTAAGCCTCTCTTAATAGCTTCCTCTCGCAACTCCTTCACAATCATCCCACGAAATTCGCCAATCGCAATCAATTTGTTCGATTCATCAGTATCATCCGAAGAATCTCGGTTCCTTTTCCCCTTGTTCTTCGATTCTTCCTTCTTAGTGTCTTCTGCGATAGCCTCTTCAAGCCTCTCTACCTGCACGAAGACACCCAAAAAGCAAATTCGAATATTAACAAACAGAGAAGAAAGAGTTCAAAGCAAAAAAAAATCGAACCAGAGATTAGAGAGTTACCAGAATGGCTTTGACTCCGGTAGTACTGAGTCCACGCTCGGCGAGTTTTGAACGGAGTTCATCGACTTTGAGCTTGCTCGCCATCTTCTTCTTCGAATAAGTTCGTCAGAAAGGGAATGAGACTGAGGAAGATAAAATGATTCTATGGTTTTCTACAGAAGCGAGTTCGCGCGAGCATTTGAAGAGTCTTCTTCTTCTTCATCAATGGCTTCCCTTGAAAGCTTTAGGGCTTTTCAAATTTAGTTTTTAAAAAAATTGAAAAATGTTTTCGTTGATTTTTGCAGATTTTGCCCATATAACTTTTAAAGTTTGAAAATACCCCAAACTTTAGGATTCATTCCTAAACCCACCCACGATCCTTTCAACTAATATAATCCAGACTTTTTTCTTTTTGGTCAACTTATAGAATCCAGACTTTATTTCCTACTATCTCTTATGATACACTATTTATTAATCGCTGAGCATATATATTATATATACAGTCAAACCTCTATAAATTAATAATGTTGGGACCATGAAAATCTATTAATTTATAGAGGTATTAATTTATCGATAAATTAATAATTATTAATTTATAGAGAGATATTCCTAATTTGGAAAATATTTTCAAAACAATATTTAAAAATAAGATTTAATCATGATAATTAGTATTTTATATAATCAATTACAAATAAAACAAGAATTATTATGTATTAAAGAGAATGCTAAATATTTTTCACATAGTAAAATATTAGAAATAAATTCTAACAAAAACTAATGTGTCTATATATACATATATTTTGAAAATTTTACCTAATTATTAATTTATAATATTGATGGGACCATATATTTACAAAGGATTTTCAAAAAATTTATTATCTTATTATTTTATCGAAATGTGTCTAAAATTACACTGGTCCCAAGTTGGGACCGGAGAAATTTATTAATTTATAGAGATTATTAATTTATCGAGTATTAATTTATAGAAGTTTTACTGTATGTATTACACCATTAAAAATAAACGTAATTACGAAAACTATAATATAACAGGCAAACACTTTTTTTTTTTACTAGCTCTAATTTTACAATTTTATTTATAATATAGTTTAAGGAACATTTTGAAAATAACATTGTTAAACCGTGATAATTATTAAAACTGACACAAATTATACAATAGTAGTTTAGTTATTGGCGCAAATGGTTCGCCACTAATCATTTTCCAAGGACAACGTGCATACGAATTATAGGGTATCGTAAACATATTAACTGGAATAGGGTTGACTGATATAAATCATGATCACAATTCTTTTATTAGAGAGATATATAATTCAGGTTTCTTTATTGAAAAATAATTAGTATACAACATGTTAATCAAGGTCTTAACTCTTGACACTAAACGATCATGATCACAATTCTTAACACTAAGTTAAACATGTTAAACGTTAACGTTTTCTTACTAACTTACATTTTCAAATATTTGTGAAACAACTTTTAACAGTTTCAAGGGGAAAACTTTAAAAGTAAACGTTTAAACCGTAACATTTTTTCTAACTGTATATTTTCAATTTAATATACGTGTGGACACAAGTTGAACTTATAACACCAACACTAAATTTTTGTGAAAAAACTTTAAAATATTTTGCTATTAAAAACACTTAACATTAAAAAAAAGTATTTAAAACATTATTGGTGAAAAAACCTTTAAAAAGTTAAATTCAAATGTTAAACTTAACATTTTTACGAACTAATTATTTTTAAACTTAAGTGTTTCATTTTAAATAGGTTTTACACATGTTGAATAAACACCAAATTTTGCGGACCCGAATGACGTGACGGGATGCTAAATTGGATTTGTTCTCAAAATATTTGAAATTAAAACACTTAACTTTGAAAACATTTGGCTAGTAAAAACATTTAGCATTTAAAAAGAGTATGTAAAACTTTATTGGTGAAAAAACTTCATTATGGTAAATGAATAAAAAGACTTGAGAGAGACGACTAGAGATCGATCCTTAACATTGTCTTGAAACAAAAGCAATTAATCATAGCTTCTAAAGTCTGCAATCCCAAATTTCATAACAACTGATCATGAATTTTATCGATATCAATTATGCAAAAAAAAAAGTGTGATAAAAAACGACTTACCAATATATTTTGACTACGAAGGTTTCAATTAATCCCAACTTCTAAACTCTGCAGTCCCAAATTTTCTAACAACTGATTATGGATCTCATCGATATCAATTATGCAAAGAAAAAAAAAGTGTGATAAAAAAACGACTTACTGATATGTTTTGACTACGAAGGTTTAGGATAAAAACAGAAACGAAAAGAGAGAGTCGTATACAGTAAAACCTCTATAAATTAATACTCGATAAATTAATAATCTCTATAAATTAATAAATTTCTCCGGTCCCAAGTTGGGACTAGTGTAATTTTAGACATATTTCGATAAAATAATAAGATAATAATTTTTTTGAAAATCCTTTGTAAATATATGGTCCCAACAATATTATAAATTAATAATTAGGTAAATTTTTCAAAATATATGCATATATAGACACATTAGTTTTTGTTAGAGTTTATTTCTAGTATTTTACTATATCAAAAATAGTTAGCATTCTCTTTCAAGGCATAATAATTATTATTTTCTTTGTAATTGATTATATAAAATACTAATTCTCATGATTAAATCTTATTTTAATTATTTTTTTGAAAAAACTTTCCAAATTAGGAAAATCTCTCTATAAATTAATAATTTATCGATAAATTAAAACCTCTATAAATTAATAGATTTTCATGGTCCCAACATTATTAATTTATAGAGGTTTTACTGTATATAACTTTTTTTTTTCTTTGTTCAACTATTTTCCGTTTTTTTAAAGAATAGATTAACATATCGTTTTAGATTTAGTTAAATTATTAAACCACTGTTTTAAATATTTTAAATTCTCATGATATTCAAACGTCGTTAAAAGATTTAATCAAATATGTGAAAATTCCAAACAATAAATAACTAACTAAAATTTGAAAAATAAATCCGAGGAAAACAAATAAATTCAGCAGCATTTTTCGTCCAAATTTTTTTTGTTAGGAATGTAAAATATAAAAAAACTTTAACAAAAAAAATGGAAAATCTACAAATTTTAGATCTTTGTGTGTGATTTGTTGCTATAAACATTATATTTATGTTAACAAAAACTCTATCAGTTAAAATATTATCAGCTGAAACTATCAAACTGTGTTAGAAATTCTATAAGAATAAAAAATCGCGACGACAAAAAAAAGAAAAAAAAAAGAATAAAAAATCGCATACTTATGAACTAAATTTCCTACTTTGTACGTTTCTTTCTGTGTCACATTATTTGTTTTGGTAATCTAATTTCAATTGACAATAAGTCAATTGTCAATACCAACGACTTACAACAATATTGAAGTCTATGCTGATTGGTTATATATTTCAAAAAGTTTTAAATCTGTATTAGCTGTTTGACCTGTGTCGATTTGGTTGTGACTTGTGTATTAAACCACTTCCGTAACACGCCATAAAACATAAAACTTTCATGTTTTACATCTTTAAGAAATAGTACATTACCATGGAGAAAAACAAAACAAAAAGAACAAAAAAAAAACATTATTTCTTTGTTCCGAAGAAAGCAAAGATTATGATCACAATTCTTAACACTAAAGTTAAACATGTTAAGGTTTTAACGTTTTCTTACTAACTCAACACTTTCAAATATATTATTTTTTTTTGGTAAGAAACACTTTCAAATATTTGTGAAATTTAAATTTAATGTTAAAACCTTAACATTTTTAACGGGAAAACTTTAAAAGTAACATTAAGTGTTTAAACCGTAACATTTTTCTAACGGTATGTTTTCAATTTAATATACGTGTAGACACAAATTGAACTTATAACACCAACACTAAAATATTTGGCTATTAAAAACACTTAACATTAAAAAGGTATTTAGAATATTATTGGTGAAAAAACTTTAAAACGTTAAATCAAGTGTTAAACTTAAACATTTTTACGAACTAATTATTTCAAAACTTTAAAACGTTAAATCAAGTGAAAAAACTTAAACGTTAAATCAAGTGTTAAACTTAAACTTTTAAATAGGTTTTCAAACTCGAATTTTTTACACATGTTGAATAAACACCAAATTTTACGGACCCGAATGACGGGACGGGAAGCTAAATTCGATTTGTTCTCAACATATTTGAAATTAAATCACTCAAGTATAAAAAAAAAATTAAAAAATTATTTGTGAATAAAATTGAATAAAATTTACGTGTTAACATTTTTACCAACTAATTATTTTCAAGCTTAAGTGTCTTAATTTAAATAGGTTTAAACATGTTGAACTTATGACACCAAAACTTACGGACCCAAATGATGGGACGGGATGCTAAGTTGGATTTGTTTACTACATATTTAAACTTAAAACACTTAAGTTTGAAAATATTTAGCTAGTAAAAACACTTAGTATTATAAATAAAAAAAATTAAAACATTATTTGTGGATAAAATTTACGTGTTAACATTTTTACCAACTAATTATTTTCAAACTCAAGTGTCTTAATTTAAATAGGTTTAAACATGTTGAACTTATGACACCAAAACTTACGGACCCGAATGATGGGACGGGATGCTAAGTTGGATTTGTTTTCAACATATTTAAACTTAAAACACTTAAGTTTGAAAATATTTAGCTAGTAAAAACACTTAGTATAAAAAAAAAATTAAAACATTATTTGTGAATAAAATTTAGGTGTTAACATTTTTACCAACTAATTATTTTCAAACTTAAGTGTCTTAATTTAAATAGGTTTAAACATGTTGAATTTATGACACCAAAACTTACGGACCCGAATGATGGGACGGGATGCTAAGTTGGATTTGTTTTCAACATATTTAAACTTAAAACACTTAAGTTTGAAAATATTTAGCTAGTAAAAACACTTAGTATTATAAAAAAAATTAAAACATTATTTGTGAATAAAATTTAGGTGTTAACATTTTTACCAACTAATTATTTTCAAACTTAAGTGTCTTAATTTAAATAGGTTTAAACATGTTGAACTTATGACACCAAAACTTACGGAACCGAATAATGGGACGGGATGCTAAGTTGGATTTGTTTTCAACATATTTAAACTTAAAACACTTAAGTCTAAAAATTGAGATATTTAGCTAGTAAAAACACTAAACATTGAAAAAAAAACATTATTTTTGAAAAGGAAAACAAAAAAAAGTTAAATTATCTTTTCTGTCGTTAAAAGTTAAATTTTACTTGTGAAAATATTTAGCTTGTAAAAACACTAAACATTGAAAAAACATTATTTTTGAAAAGGAAAAAAAAAATAAAAGTTAAATTTTATAAAAGTTAAATTATTATTTTTGTCGTTAAAAGTTAAATTTAACTTGTAAAAATATTTAGCTTGTAAAAACACTTTATATTAAAAAAGTATTTTAAAATATTATTTGTGAAAAGCCGTTTGTTTGTTTACGAAAAAAAAAACAGTTATAAAAAAAAATACAAGGAAAGAAAAAGGAAATTTGTCGACAAAAAAAAAAAAAAAAAAAAAAAAAAAAAAAAGGAAAGAAAAAGGAATTTAAGAATGGGATACCTCGTGCAGCAGTTTTGTGACGATATTGTCTAAAAACAAATCTGGGCCTCTTTCAGGCTACAGCCCATCTAGCTTCTTTCATGTACAAGAAACAAAGCTGTGTCAGAAGAAACAAGAAGACGACTCTGCTAGTGATTGAATTGAACATAGCACAATTTTGAGAAATTGAACAAGTTTTATGCTACTTAACGATTTTGAGAAATTGAGCAATATTACCATATCCAAATTCACAACCTCCTTTAACAGTTAAACACTCGTATCAAAATTTGCCTATTTGGGTCTAAGAAGCCTGAAACTAGAAAACCTTTCTCCAACAAAAAAAAATAAGCCAAGGACAAAGAAGAGAGAAGAAACCTGAGTATCCGCCAAGGATGATGGGTGGTAGCGTGATTCTCCACCAAATAGAGAGTCTCAGTTTTGTACTTGTACACTAGTGGCAACCTCTGTCTTTGCTTCTCTATATTCACATGTGTAGCCCCTAAAACTACAAATTTTGAACCCATTAAGTGATATATAATAGGGATCTACGTACGGCAGAACAAGTACAAACATCAAATAAAGAAGAGAAGAAGATGGACATACCTAGAAGAAGAAGAAGAAGAAGAGGATGCGAGACATGAGAAGACACTATTGCCTCCTTCATCATCATCTTGGTATCTCTGTCGGTCATTGACTCACTGGTTTCCAAATCACCAGCTTTAGTTTTTTGTCTTCTTCGAGTTTATTTTCTCTCTTTATTTTGCAGCGACGGTGATCAAGAAGAGAATTGCATAAAGTTTGGTTTTGGTTTGGAAGAAGAAGAGAAGAAATTGAAAAAGATGATGGTAGAGATTGATTCAGCTTTCGCTTTGAGAGTATTTAATAAAAGACCAAAGGGTTTGTTTCTTCGAATAAAAATGTAAACTTTCTATTTGTTTCCTTTTTCATATTTATCTCTGAACGGTCGAGAGATCTGGACCGTTTATTTTCATTAATCCCGTTGCAAATGTAAAATCGGACGGTGATCATATCTATTTGTAAACGGTAAGTTTTTGAAAGATTTATGTGGGACAGGATTTACCTCTCTGCTACAAAACAGTGAAACGCCCACTCATTACAAAACAAAAGACTATTAAAAAACCACATACAGTAGTAGTTGTGGATTCATATGCAAATGTAAAAGACCATTAACTCGATGGAGACCGCAACTCTATTCATGTGTTTTATGATATATGTTACGCACATCGTCAAAACTAAAACACACATGCATGTTTAATTGTAATCTCATAATCTGCATATAATAACCACGAGTATAGAATATCGATAACGACATACAGTATAAGAATTAACAGAGGTCCAATTCAGAAAAAGCTTGGATTCACCGATTTGGTTTTTCAACATTAATCGGCTCATCTCATTTATATATACGTTCGAGTTTCAAAAATTTATATATTAGAAAATCAAAAGCTCTAGCAAATTTGGATGGGTTCGAGTTCAGCCTTAAAAAATTGGTTAGATGATAGGATAACTATTCAGATTCGAAATTCACATGAAACAAGTAACTTTCGGGTAAGCCATGTAAAAGACCAGAGAGAGTTAGCGAGATTTTGACCAAAGAAATTAAACAACAAATAGGTAGAGAGAACATGCAAAAAAGCCAAAAACAAAAAAAAAAAGACATGACGAATGTTCAATGGTGTGTATATCAGATGGAGCGAACCAACGAACTACATGTTCTCACTTCAGTTACCAAACAGCCTAACATTACACCCTGTCCTGTCCTTATCCCAAATTAAAGTTGTACTTCTTTTTTCTTCTTTTTATTTTTGCTCATACTTGGTAATTATTTTTTGTATGTAATGGTAGTAAGTAGTAACTCAGATTTATAGCATCTCGAGAACTCCAACAACAAATTGCTTACGATACAGAATGAATTAATAAAAAAAAAAAGAGGAACGAAGATGCGAAGTAGAAAAAGAAAACAAGATGCTGGTTGTTGTGTCTGTGATACCAAGAAGCTGGGGGCGAAACCACGAAGCAAAGAACCACTTCCACGATGCAAGTGGACTTTGGTCGTCAAGAAGAACCAATGAGAAGCAAACTTCCACCGCCTCAAAATATCATATTACGTATTTTATTCTGATTCTTATTACTATTAAATATATACAATAGACAAATAGTACTCCTAATTTGGAAAGACGAAAATATGTGGTTTTTTTTTATGCTGATACAACACTCAACGTTATTTAAAATAATACTTGAAACTAGGAGCTTTTAACCAATGGCATATCGACATGCTAAATCACAAATTCATAATCTATTCGAACTCTCTCTCTCTCACTTTTCCTAATTTTACACACATCTGTCTACAGTCTACATGTCCATCAGCATCAATCATTAAACATTTCGTATAATTTATTCATTTTAATTTCCTTAAAAGCGTTCGTTATTTTTCAGAATTGCCCATTTATAAAAGAATATTGGATAATAATTCTGGAAAAATCTTTGACAAGGAAAAAAATTATGGAAATTTTTCATTTTTTTTTCGGGTCAGACATTATAAGTCACATATTTTTTTTTTAAAGTCAGATATTTAAAAATCTAATTAAAGCTTATATATTTAAATTAAAAAGTCTAAATTTGACTTGATGAAAATAAAAAATAGAAGGGCTTCTTTGTTGACAAAAAAAAAAAAAAAAAAAAAGAAAAATAAAATAAAAGGCAAAGCTAATAATGGGTCAACAAAGGACTCAAAGGCCAGAATTGACGCAGTCGTTTATGGTAAGTAGTGAGAAGACAATTTCGGAGTCACTTCCCTTTTATTATTTGCCTACCTCTCTCCTCTTCCCCTTGCCTCTATATAAACCTTCCTCTCCTCTTCCTTCTCTTCTCATCCCCTTCAAGCCATTCTCCAAAATCAATCATACTTGAGAGAGAGAGAGAGAACACAGACGAAACTTAGTTTCTTCATTCTCGTTGTCGTAGAGATTCTTCCTTCCTCCCGAATAAATCTCTCCTTCTGCGGCGGCGATAAAGAAGCAAAACAAAAAACAAAAGTTTCAACCTTTAACTCTCTGTTTTCTTCTCTCTTTCAAGAACCCACATACTTCGAAAATGGCTCGTTCTCTTTCTAACGTTAAGATCGTTTCTGCTTTCCTCTCTCACGAACTCTCCAATGCTATCTTCCGGTATGTTTCTATTGTCTCTGTTTTTTTTTCAAGTTATGCTCTGTTTTTTGTAGTTATGCTCTGTTTTCTAAACGGTGTCCTTTCTTTTTTTTTTTTTTTTAACAGACGTGGTTATGCGGCGACGGCGGTGCAAGGGAGCGGAGGAAGAAGCGGAGCTGTTACTTCGGCTGCGATGAAGAAGAAGGGAGTGGAAGAATCAACCCAGAAGATTTCATGGGTTCCAGATCCCAAAACCGGTTATTACAGACCCGAAACCGGTTCCAACGAGATTGACGCCGCTGAGCTTAGAGCAGCTCTCTTGAACAACAAGCAGTGATTAGTTAACTTTTTCTTTTTTTCAGTATAAAAAAAAGAAGATTAATTATTTGATGTTAAATTTTTCAAGGTGTTTTGTTTGTTATTAAGAGGAGATTAGGGGAAGTGTGGGTAATGATCTGTTGCAGTGAACCCTATTTTCATCTGCTAAACTCGATTCTGTAATAAAATTGATTAGAGAGAACTATTTGGTTTCCTCTAAACTTGTAACAAAAATATAAGGATCGTTGGATGTATGATGTATCTTATATAATAGAGTTTTTTTTTTTCTAAATCATTTTATTCGATAGCCATTTCACAACTCCATAAACTTAAAATGTACATAAATTTAACTTTCAAATTGATTATAGAAATTTGTTGTTTATTACAAAACTATAAAAGGAGAATATTTTGGAATCCTAAAACAACAACAACAACAACAAAAAAATAAATATCGGGACGTTTTTTTTTTTTTTTTTAACATTATCACGACGTTTATACATATACTATTATACATATCTAACATGCAAAATGTTCTTTTTTTGGTAGAAACATGCAAAATGTTCTTGATTAAGGTTTGTTCAAACTTCCATTTAATTTAAAATAATTCAGACAAAAACAAATCAGTTAATTCTTGTATGAATTCATAACATCATCTAGTGGATGAAACTATAGGTTTCACTTTCACTTTTACCATTACAAAGTAGCTATGATATTTTGTTGTTGTATCATTCCAATTTTCAACTGATTTTTAAAGACAATACTAAAATTACCAAAGTTGTGATATCATAAGTACTCTACATTTTAAAGGCAAGCAAAGAGCTTTTTGACCAACATAGAATAAGTTGATAATATCTAACGGATACTCTTGAGTTAACTTTTAGAATAAGTTGGGTTATATTCTTGATAGTAGATGTATTTTTTATATTTCTAGTTAACTTATGAGATAACATATTAAAAGGAATGTAAATTGAGAATTATTGGAGTTTTAGAAGTTATTGGCACGTAAGCATATGCATAGATAATGTTTACGTATTCAACAATGATACGATAAAACACTACAATAATATTTTTAAATCTTCTTAATTACTATATAGTTTTGTTCTTAATTTGCATGGATATAACCGACAGAATCTTGGTTGTCTCGTGGTTATCTAATTGTTAGTAATAGATTAAGTAGTGGCAGTGCATAATTTAGCAAACATCAACTTGACAATGAAATAATGTAGTTAATTAACTTAAACTAGTTTTAAAGACATGTATTGTACCTTTGGAGTGTCGACCGTTCCTTAATCAAATATTTTAAGACAAATCAAGTTTATCTCTTCGCCTCTATCTAATCACACATTGATAAATCATTACAAGATAGTTTAGAAAATTATTAATTCAATCATCATTGTTCAAATAAAAAAATAATTCAATCATCATTCACAAAACAAAATTTCGTAACTAGTAATATATTTGGATAATCCGTTTTTTCTATTGATAACAAAGGGGTTTTTTTTCGCCTATCTTTCACCAATTAAAAAAAGAGAACAAAAAAAAAACATATATAATGAAGGGTGAAGTTAAAGAATTCAAAAAGGGCAAAGAAACGTAAGACATGTCCTATCTTCCTTTGAAGAGTCAATTTATTATGCTCAAAGGCTTTTGAGATCCTAGGGGAAAGGCCACTTGGCTGGTACATCGAATCTATCAGCACTAAATTTTCTTTTACTTGACTATAAATAATTGAGTTTGGTCATTTATTCTATAAAATAATTGAGTTGTTCATTTATTCTTTTGAGTTGTTTTGCTAATTCGTATCCAATAATGCCATAATGTGCAAGATTTTACAAAGTGATTCGGATCTACACATACAAATTATAGTAGTTCAAAAGATATTAGAAAAAGAACAGTAAAAAGTAGCTACGTTACGTTTATTCCTTGTACTTAGAAAACGATAAGCACATGTTTAGATAGCGACTAAACATAATATTTGTATAATACCGTAATTACACTAAAAATTCGGCCTTTCTAACCCTAAAAAGGGTATGTCAATAATGTCATGCATTGAATCTAGAATAACAATCGAAAAAAAAAAAACAAAAAAGTTATGAAATAGACGAGTAAAAACTAATTGTCTTAGCATACATATTTGAAAGCCTTAGCATACATACTAATTGTCTTAGCATACATATTTGTCTTAGCATATTTGAAAGCCTTGGTCAAATACATGAATGTTAACATACTATAACTCTAAATAAAGTATATTGTTTTTATTTTCTCATACTACAAAAACTATTGCTTACCTGTAAATTCTAATGCAAATCAGAATACATTGGAAATTTGGAATTGAAGAAACAAAGTTCCATTGAACTTTCTTCATACAGTATATATTCTTTTTCTCCAAACGTGAAAAGTCATCAACAGTTGACTATTTCATTTACTGCAGTTTTTATTTTATTTATTTTATGAATTTTGATCCTTTGATAGACACGACTTCTATTTGTTGCTTGCATATATAATTTGTTTTAAAAGGATTTCGTTATTATTATTTTTTTAAAAAAAAAAAAAGAGAGAGAGAGAGAGCTAGATTACTATTAATAATCCGTACAAACCATAAAATATTTGATGAAGTAGTTAGAAGGGACGTGAGAAAGTAGACGATGAGACCACTCGACCCGGCCATGAATGGCTACTTGACTACTCCCATACAAGGCGATCATTGCACACCAAAGCTCACGTTTGTTCCTATCATGCCACAAAAACGCCATCTTTCCATTGTGTTCGGCCATTGCGGTACTACTAAAATGACCATTCAACTCCAAACCATGAACCATTCTCCATAGTTTCTCCTTGGATTCAAACCACATCAACCCAAGACAATAGTAATGCATGTAGATCACGTTGTCTACCACACACATTACTCCACACTTGTAATTCTCATTAGCTGGTATTATCTTTTCACATTCACCATCTCTAGTGTCATAGATTATCACATTTTGATTATCCCTCCCATATATCTTTCTGCCTAGTGACTGGGCTACCACATATTTACTTAGGCATTGCAATTTCGCAGTGGGATTTGGCGCGACTTGCCAAGTTTGCGTCTTTAGATAAACACTTGCGCTTGGATATCTCTGCATTCTCCTTTTTCGCACAATCCTCCAAAACTGTAAATTTTGTCGTTAACTACTCCCAAAGCAGCCTCATTGCTGCTCACAAGCGGCCTTGGACCTTGACGCAACTTTCCTGACCGAGAGTCGAGGATCCACATGCTTCTCGAGGAGCCCGCCATAAAAGTAGATTTCGGGACCTAGCGTGAGAATTGCAGAGAAAGGCTCGGGTGGAGAAGGGAACGGAATCGAAACCAAACAAGGACGATCCTCAGTGAAAGTAGACCAATGATCAGAAGTAGTAATACTAGAAATTTCTAGAAAACAGACGTAGAAACGATCTTTTCCCAAAAGAGATCGCGTTATACGAAGCTCAGAGGAACGTATGAGAAATCTTAACTGTTTTGACACGCAAGAGAGAATTGAGTTATACCGTCTCGGCACGCGGGCTAAGATGTTTAAAACGATATCGTTTGGCAGTGACGAAAACAAGATCGATGGTGCCTCTTCTTCCTTGGCCGTCGAAGACATCGTCTTGCCCCCTAATCCTAAAGAACTTTGTTTTTCTCTCTCTCTTACAAAATCTCAACATCCCACTAAGCTTTCTTTATATAAAGAAATAATTTATCCTTTTCCCTCTTGGAATCGTAACACACTAATTTAGTTACAAATCTAGAATGCCCTTACTTCTTCGCATCTTTATCCAAAAAATAAAATAAAGTAAAAGATAATTAAACAAAACCCGTTAAAAAATACATGTCCATTAGTAATAAAGATTAGGATCAGTAAGCATAAGAATATTTCCTATGTTGGAATAGAAGGAACGAGCTCCAATGGCTTTTTCATATTCTCCAAACTTGAAAAGTCATCAACAGTTGACTATTTTCATTTACTGTATTTTTGTTTATTTATTAATGAATTATGATCTTTTGTAAGATACGACTTCCATAAGTTGCCTGCATGCATTATTCGTTTGATAAGGACTTGTATAATGTGATGCCTCCACATAACTATACTTCAAACTTCAAAGAATCATGTTCTAAATTCATCCCAAAACAGATAAAAGTATTAGCAACATTTGACAGTTACCCCAAAAGCACAAGACTCTACCAAAACCATCTTCACTATGACTAACTATCTCTAATATCTGCAAACTAATTCTCTTTTCACCAAAGAGAAAGATCCGAGATCGAATGATCTTTCTAACAAACCTATTTTGAGATCAAATACCTAAACAGTCCCATACCCTCAATGGATTCTCTAATCCACAAACTACAGCTCATCCTAACTCTCTGCTCATCCAACCAAATCAACACAACTAAAGAGTAAACGTTATCCAGGAACATGATTCAGAATCGACCCTTATGAACAGAAAATATAAACTTTCATTCTAACACAGATCACAAAATCAGCCAAATTCATCATTGTCTTGAGCATATATTTCACAATGTTCACATCTCCCTTCAATATCCATCTTTACTTTCACCATTACAAGAACTTGAACCCCTTAAATAGAACTGAAGTAAAACAATTACGAATTCCAGAAACTACGCTCATAATTTATTGGACAAGACATTAAAGATGCGATCTTTTCTAAAAGGTAAGACTTTTTAGTTTTGGGGACAAATTACAAAGAGAAAAAAAATCGAACCTTTTCCCAATTTCAAGACGAAGATACAAAAGGGTTCCTCCCAAACAAGTCCAATTTCGAATCCTTGCATTCAAATCCACAGCCACACTGAGGCGACTCCAAGAACTCCTGAATCGCGAAATTCGCCGATGTGATCCCAACTGAAAACTCCATCTCGTCTCCGTTTCTGATAACCTCGACGATGTTAAGCCACAAGAACAAAACTTTGACCTTAACACCAGTCAATTTCTTGAGCTTGTTCTCGGAGATGTAACCACTGATCGTCGATTTGTAATTCAATTGGTAAGAACCCACAAGTGAGAAGCTACACGAATCGTTGAAATAAGCATGGAATTTGCCTGTCGTTGTGTCTAAATCATAAGCCACGACTCCTTTTGGAAGGATTCCTACAGGGAAGTTGTAGCTTTGTAGGACTGAATACGCCGTCGGAGTATCTGATTCGGCGGCGGCGGCGGCGAGTGGAGAAAGGAAGAGGATAGAAACGATTACATACGAGAGACGAGACATTTGGTTCTTGATTTCTCCGCCTTTGGATTTTGGTTTTTGCATCGGAGACTCCTTTTTTTTTTTGTATGGGTCGTTGAAAATATCTTTTTGTGAAATTAAATGCGACGACGTATTAGGTAGACAACTAGACACGTGGCTAGGTATCACAGGCTGTCAGGTTGTGGTGATGAGACTAATTATTTTTGGGAAAGTTTCTCTACTGGATGATTATCAAATAATTTTCCATTATTACATTTCTTAACTAAAAGACAAAAAAAATTGCACATGACTTTCTCAATTTATTTTTGTGAAAGAAATATAAAAATTTGTTATTACAGTTAGACCACTTTTTTAAGGTCTGAGTAATTATCATTTGGCTTAGAGCTATTTTGGTTAATGACTCACATTAGTTAGATTATTAATTAACTAAGCCTCATATATTGTACTCATTTAAGTTATAACAAGGACTTATAACTGATGTTGACAAAAAAAAAAAAAAAGGACTTATAACATAAGACCTTTTTTTTTTATTCAGTATACAATACAAGGCCCAGTAGAGTTAAGAAGAAAATAAAAGCCCATTACAATCAAACCCACAACCACATTGAGGACTCTCTTCGAAATCAGCCGCCGGGAAACTCGCCGACGCGATACCGACGGAGAAATCGAGATCGGCGCCGTCAAGATACACTTCAGCGATATTAACCCAGAAGAAAAGAATCTTAACACTAACGCCGTTCAGATTTTTGACGTGACCGGGGGATATAACGCCGGAGATGGTTGATTTGTACTTGAGCTGGTACGATTGGATGGTGAACTCACAAGTGTCGTTAAAGTAGACTTTGAAATCGCCGGTTTTGGTGTTAAGCTCGTAGTTAACGACGCCTTTTGGGAGGATTCCCGGTGGTAAGCTGTAGCGTTTGACGGCGTCGTAAGCGGTTAGCTTGTGGTCGGAGACGGCGTAAGAGACGGTTAAGAAGAGAAAGAAGAAAATTATATAACAAGTGGGTTTAGCGTTTGGCGACATGGGTTCTTTCAGTTTTGTGTTCCTATGACTCGTGTTGTGTGATTGTATTTGTATTTAGAAGCTTACTTGACCTTTGTTTCATCATAAGTAGAGCAGAGAGAAGTAGTTGCTAGGTGTTTGTGTCTTGTGGACAGTGTAAACCAGCGCGTCCGATGAAGAGACCATGCGATTCGATTAGATGGACGGTTGCAATATCACTGACAGAGAGCACACGTGTACAAAGGAAACAACCAACGATCACGTGGTAAACCAAACCAACCTTGATTGAAAATGAAGAAACAAGCAAGTATCTCACTATCTTCGTACCGCTTTGGTTTAACCTTTTGATTATTGGTCACCAACTCACCATAGAACCAATCCGACCCTTTACTGCTGCGGTAATCTGAGCCTAAACCAATCCAATCTATAGATCAATCTAACCGAAAATTCTACGTTAACACAAAACCAATAATATCGAAACCTCATTCAAATAGTTTACCTATTTATATAAGAGGAACAACCAAAATCTAACTACAACCAAACTGAATCAAGTTTCTAGAAGATTTTTCAAATAAAAAGAGTACTTAAAATCCATAATAAAACACGTATTTAAAGATTAAATCACCTATATAAATTCAAACTAATAAAACAGGCTCGAAAGGAGAAAGGTCAAGCCTTGGTCTGGCTGTGGTGTCTGATGACTGAACACTGAATTTCGAAATCAAACTATTGAACTCATTTGCGAAATGGAAGAAAAAAAGATACACTCTTGGGGTGAAGAAATCAGTTTTGTGTTTTTTAAGCCTTTCTTTCTGAGAGACCAACGAATCATCAACAATGAAATATAAAGCAATCATATAATTAACAATAGAGCATATAGATAAAACAAAGGACGAGATCGTACTTACGCTTTTGATTTGTGCTCGGATCCATCATCAGCTCACATCTTTCAATCTCTTTATCAACGCATCTAACGATTTGTTCTTCGGGTTTTGCCTCGACCCTCTTGTTCCAAAAGTCCCGAAAATACTATCTGATGGATCTCTGAATTTCTCTGAAACCGTAGCAACTTTCCGGTAATCCAAAGCATTGTAGCTTCTTTCTCTAATCACCGGGTTAACAAAATTCTCAGGGTGACTACTCAGAAACAAATTGATCATCTGTCTTATCTCAATGAATGCTTTTTTCATCTCTCTGGCTTCTTTGTCGGTCAGCAATGGAGTTAGATTCTCTGTAAATGATTCCAGCAACTGAATATCCACATCAAGTCCTTTGATTGCAGCCATGCTCAATCTTTTTACTAGATCCCCGCATAGTGTTCCAACAATTTGCTCAGAAATGTGGGCAAGGACATCGCGCAAAACCCTTTTCAAAACTTTAGCAGGTAATATCTGTTGCGCGGTGGAAACCAAAGTTTCCAAGTAGATCAGCACTTCGTTCATGTACTCATTCCCACCTTGTGGAATATCGTCGCTTATCCAACTGACATTCTCTATCAACGTCATGAAACCATCTATCTTCTTCTTAAGCATTCCTGAGAGGGTATCTTCTGCAGCGTTTTGAGATCTGGTCAATGGAAAATGCCTCCTACCTCTTTCTGCCATTCTCAAAGGAACTCCTGAAAGCTGTGCGGCGTGACGGAAGAAGAAATCGCAAGCTCGCTCAAACACGGCCATGTTTGCTGCAACTTGCATTGCCTGAGAAACTCCATGAACCGACGAGTTAATCAGCTTCAACAGAGCCTCGTCGAGAACGTCGCTTAGAAGTCTATCCAGATACTTCTTCACGACATCGTAGAAATCAAGCTGACCTCCATGAGACATGAAACTAACCGAATCCTCAATAAAAGAACGCACAATCCGGCAACAATCTGGGACGGTGGTTGAAAATGGAGCAATGTAAGGAAATGCTGGTACTATATCTGACGTTTGTAACTGGAAAGAGAGCACATTCATGGAATACTCATATTCTTTCTTCATCAACATCTGTTCAAACTTATCTGCTGACAATGCTTCGGTGATCTGTTTACGGCAATCAGATAGTAACAGCTCATGATACTTGTCCCTATGCTTGCTTAATACTTCGAGAAGGGAATCAACAGCATAGCCATACCTGCGTAGACTCACCCCTAACAAGCTCACATAATCCTTAATCAGCAAGAGATGATTAGCCGTCTGCATCCTAGAGAACTGATCCTCCAACACAGTACACATCTTAGTCACAGCAGTATCCCACAAACTCTCCACTTGCTGTTTAGAAATCAAACCTCCACCAGTTCTTAATACTCTATCCTCTACAATGAAAAACCCAGCAATCTGTGCAAAAAACGTCTGGTGAGACTCGAGAAACGGAGTCATAGTAGATACCTGGAAGTCAGAGGTAAGCTGAAGATCCCTATTATCAAAATAGTACTTCTTAAAACTATCTTCAAGAGATAGTGTCTGATGAATGTGATAAGCTCTATAAAGTGGAGTCAAGTCAAAGCCTAGCAATCCACCCCCGGAACTACCAGCGTCGCTGCTTTCAGGGCCAGAGCCAAATTCATCGTCCTCTTCTTCGTTTAGGGCATAAACGCAATCACGTGAACTGAGTCTGCTCTGCTCCTCCGCTTGCCTCTGCTTGATCCTGAGCTCTTCCTCTCGCTGACGAGCCGCAGAAGCTTCACCAATAGCCAACTGACCCAAATTTCGACTCACCACACGGATCTCAACCAACCAATCTCCAAACTCCTTATTAACTTTCCTCTCCACATAAGATCGAATAGCCGGAATCCTATTCTCCAGCATCCGTTTCAGCGTTGACGAAGGAGTTTTCTCCATGAAATCACTCTCAATCGTGTCCACACACTTGAGCGCCATGTAAAAATTACCGCTCTGGAGATGCTGATTAGCTCGAGAAACAAGCTCCATAACACGAACACAGTGAGTCACGGCTCCAATCGCCAGATCGACGTTCTTAGACACAGTCTGAGCCTCAACAAGCGAATCAAGAGACGAAAGAAGCGGCGCCGCAACAGATTGGAGTTTAGAGTTGGAATCGGACAGCGCAGATTTAAGCGATTCAACATCTGAGAGAAGCGATTTAAGATCGTCTACAGCGTGGATAAAGTCTTGATAGTGAGCTTTACATACCTCTTCGATCTCTGATTCCTTAGATCGTGCGAAAAACTTGAGATGGTGAAGAAGAGTCTCTGGTTTCCCAGTACCGAACGTTTTCCGAACAAAAGGTCCTAAATCTTCGCCGTTACAAATCGCAGACGAAATCAAGAGCTCGTCGAGCTTCTCCGCCGAGTCAATACCGGCTCCGGCTGGTGTGGAGCCAACTTTACGCCGCCCTTTCGACGGTTGCATTGTTTCTTCTCCGATTTTAGGTAAAGCGTTACAGCGAAGAAGAAGGAGGAATTTTGGATTGGGACAACGAAATCGATTTGGTGGGTTTGTTTGTTCTTCAAAGGGAGTTTTGGGTTTGACTAAAATGACATTGCTGTAGAAGCGGTGCGACGGAAGAAGACGAGGGTGTTTTTTGTCTTTTCGTCTGCGGAGTGGTTTCTTTTCTTCTGACTGGCGTCTTCAATTGATCGTGAATATTTGTCTAACAAAAGCCTGACTTTTTACGCCTCAAAAGGCGCGTGATAGATTTAAGTTGGACAAATCCAACTTTTATACCATTAAAACGGTAATGAAGTTTATTTAGCAAGTAGGTATATAATGGGCATTGTTCGGCGTTTGCAGCGGCGACTACGATAGCGATAGCAAATGAACACAACATTTTTTTAGCCACTGAATCAAATCGACGTTCAAAAACTTCTAATCACAGAACATTGTGTTCGTTGCAGCGTTAACCTGCGATAACCAAACGAACAACAATACTTACCGCTGCCGAAGGACAAAACGAATAGGCCCATTTATATTGCCTTGATATATCAAATTTATTCACAATGGTCATAGTCTCATAGGTCTATGTGTAATGGTATATATGTGTAGTGGTCGAATGATTACCACACATACTAGCAATCTCATGGAATTAAAGCTATATAATAATTAAGGAAGAGGTAAAAAATAATATTAACAAGTTGTTCTTAGTATTATGTGTGTTTCATGGTACAATGTAGTAATCAAACCAGAATCCAAACTCTTAAAAAGAATCGTTCTTTAAAATTTTTGTTTTCACATTGAACTCATGAACCAAACCTACTTAGTGACTAAAAATATGTATTAGGATAGTTCGTGATTCCACAAGTAGTTTGAACTACTAAAACTACCTTTTTTTGCTGAATAACTATTGAAAGTTGAAACTATTGGCTACTTCTTTTTTTGATATGACTAAATTTCTCTAAATAAATTTAAGACTTTTCAAAGCAAATAAATTACCAAGTAATCAAAATAACATAACAAAGAACTTAAAAGCAAAAACTTTTTATTATTACAATAAGGGGAAAAGACTAGAAAATTAAAAAGATATTACACAGAAAATCCTTAAGATGAAAAAAAACACAAATGCAAACCATTCAATACTTCACCCACAAAGAAAACAACTCCCCTTAAGATTCAAGCTTGTTACATAGCACAAACATAAGTAGGGGTGGTAGCAAGACGATCAGTTGTAGGTTGGTGGGTGGCTCCCCTCCATGGAAGGAACGTCTTCATCCTCTTCAGCATGAGGAATTAGATTCAAATCCAAACTCATTCTTCGGTTCGAATTTGAATTAAAATTCAAATCCATATTCACATTCATATTCAAATTAAATTTATGAATTTTTTGTGGAATCTGACCATAATATTCAATGAGAAAATCATATTGGCGTTGAATCAAATTCTGATGATTTTGAATCTCATTCTCACGATCATTATCTCCGACTTGGACAACATCTAAATCTGGAACAACAAGAGGACGTGAAGGTGGTAAAAGAGATAAAGGAGAAGAAGATTCACCATTCTCCCTGAGGTGCTTGGCCCTACAAATAAGTTTATCGATACACTTATCAATAAAAGAAGTCAAGTCTTGGTTATCCAACTCACCGAGGTTAGACATATCAATCTCTCCTCTGAGACAACCAAACATAATATTTTGAATCTGAAAATCGCGATTTTCAGCACGCAATTTTTGCAATTGCAGTTGCACACTGGCGATCCTCTCACGCAAAAAGGCTTCTTGACTCACCATCCTCTCCGTCCGTTTGGCCACCGGAACCTCCATAAACTCCGTGATCACTCCCTCAGCGCCTTCTCTTGATGGCCAAGCCTCAAGTTCTGGGTTATACGGACTGTAGATAACCCCACACGTTTTGACACCACAGAGAGTAGAGAGCTCGGATAACTTCTTTATTATCTCTCGTTTTCTCTCGTAGAATAAAACTTTTCTTGCTGCTTCATCTTCTATAAGCGAATACTTCATTCTTCTTTCCATGTTAACTATATTTTGTTGTGTGTTTTGTCTGGTTGGCTGGACTGATTGGCTAGAGGTGTTTATATAGGGAATGAAAGGTGCTTTTTTACCCATGAGGGTTTTCATTTCCTTGCTGGCTCATTAGTTTTTATCCGATTGAATTTCAGATTTCGTATCTGTTTTCTCCCTACGTGTAGCCTTCTGATTGAGTATAAAGTGATAACTCTTTCATTTAGAAGATAATTAGTAATCCAATTGATAAATTAAATCTTTTAAGGCGCGTGAATTACGAGGTCTCATATATTAAGGACCAATTTGGTATCACATACACAATGAAAGATGTCTTTCTATTTACAAAATGCAAGTTAGGAAAAGAACTAAATCCTAATTTTCTTATCTCTAATTTTAATTTTTTGCTAATTTTGTTTAAAGTAATATATATAAAACATCGATTTAAATGAATAAAAATAAAGTGACAAAAAATAAATTAAGTTATAAAAAGAGAAACTTTATTAGTTGAATAGATATAAAGTAAAATTTTAGAAAATGTTCTGTATATATATTTTTATAAAAATCAGTTGCAATTTGCAAGACGTTCTCACGACGAGAACTATCCACACTCTCAAATTTTGTTCAAATGAGTGTACTGGCCTATGCATCAATTTGTCTAGGCATACGATTAATAAAGTCAGCAGATTAGTCTATACTACTGCTACTTACATTAGTCAATTTATGTAAGTGTTATGACGTCGCTGCAACTCTATTTGGCGACCAAAAGCGATGAAGAATTAATTAAGGAGTCGCTGCGATTCTTTCTATCAATGTTGCCAGTGTTGGTTAGTGCAGCCAAGAAATCCAGCGATGATTATAATAGTTGCGCGACTACTTTTACGGGGAAAATAGAGTTAGGCCATGTTCGTTTATGAGTCGCTACTTGCAGCGACTGCGATCATGAAAATACCTTTACTTCTCATTTCTCTCCTTCAATTTTGATCGCTGCGACTATAATTTCAAGAATTTTGAGCAGCCGGAAAAGCCAGCAATATGATCCAAATCATTGTCTAAACCGGCGACTATCGCTACCTTTTTTTATAATCAAATCACCATTGTTGAACGCAAAGAAAAACACTCAACCCATAAAAAATTACATAAATCTTCATCTTCTTCTCTGACTTAATTAATTGGGAATCTCTAGAATTTATAATTGTACCCTTTACAATACACAGAAATTACAAAAAGAAAATAGTCGTAGCCGCTACTGCTGCGACTCATGAACGAACAGGGCCTTAGTAGTCTACACATATTTGCATGTCAATTGTCAAGTAAACTAGATTTCAATCGCATGTCTCTAAAGTAGCGATTATAAAAAGAACATACATTGTTTGTCTAACAAAAGCCGGACTTTTACGCGTCATAGAGAAGCCGGAGAATGACAAGCAGCTCAACAGGCGTCTTTGACGGTAACTCAACCGGGCACTATCTTAAACATTCCGCGCCAAGTTTTACTGACACCAAGGAATGCGACAAAGTGTGATGTCGATGCAGCGTGGTGCGCATCTTCAAAAATATGTGACCAAGGCTGGGTGATTGCTGATACGATGGGTTTTTCTCGTCTCTGTTTCTCCACCTCTCGGGCCCGTATTCATTAGCCGCATCCAGCCACTAGCAGGCCTTGTCCAACAGACCAGTCGCTACACCCTCTCGACCCTAGTACACGCCTGATCCAATGACCTCTCATTCGCACATGCCACCTCCTTCGCCAAGTCCTTAAGATATTGGACCCGATTTCGACACTTTTGGTTTGACCCAAAAATATTACCACACCTCCATTTCCACGCCCACCAAACCGTCATTGCAAACATTATAGACCAAGTGCTCTCTCCCATAACCGAGTGATCACCCAGATTTGTATATAACCACTCGAGGAGTGTTTGCTGAAAAAAATCTCTCCTTTGACTAGGCCGTATTAACCTTGCTCAAACTCCACTCATCACTGGACAATCTCTTAAAATATGAATGATAGACTCACCATCCCCTTTACACACTTGACAAAGGCCAGAAGCACACAAATGACGCCTCATCCTCTCCACATTTGTCATCATCACTTGATTCATACTCGGCCATAAGAAAATCCGAACCCTTTCCGGAACTAACACCTTCCAAACCCGGGAAAATAATCCACTAATATCCTGCCTCAAACTGGTATCCTGAAAATGCTGATGAAATTTATTTCGTATGTAGGTATAAAATATAAATGTGCTCAAATATACGCTATATTAGTATGTAGATTTATTATACAAAATTTTGTTATACATTTCAAACCTTTTATATCAATTTTACTTATGCTCCAATGATGTTTCTAGATCCCTACCAAACAAAAAAAATGATGTTTCTAGAGACCATAAGAAGTCAACATTTTGAAGTTTAATTTTGGATAAAAGAACAGTTACGAGAATTTTTGTTCTAGATTAGTTATTTATTAAACAAGTGAAATACCCATAACATCATCCTTTAACCCATTACAAACTAGGCTCAGAGCAAGGAAGATAATAAACTTGACCAAGCTTAATCAACCTTGAACTTGATATGGTGCAGACGGAGAATCTCTACGACTACAAGGATGCGGTTTCGCGGGTTCTGAATTTCTCAAAGAAGCCATAGATGTGGTCAGTGACCTCGTCGGGCTTCTCTTGCTGGAGGAAGTGACCTACACCTTCCATAACCACCACTTCTTGTAGAAACGGTACGTGCTTCTTCAAACCACCATCATGTATATATTCCTTTGTTCCGGGAATGTTGTATACGATGTCCAGATCACCCACTATGAATTTCACAGGGACCTTGATTTGTAGACCGGCCCATGGAGCCGTTAGTTCCCAGCTCCTTCAAGTTAGGATAGAACCAGATCGATTCAGGTCAAATGATAACCATGAAAAGATTATGTATGAAGTAGTTGATGCTAGAAATCATACGACTTACAGGTTCATGGCGCGGTAGTAGTTTAGTCCACCGGTGAAACCTTTTTGGCTAAACTTGTCTCCGTAGAAACTGACATCTTGTTCAGTGAGCCAAGCAGGCAAAGAAGGTGGGTCAGGTAAACCTCTGAAACCAACTGACTTTGGAATGCAAGGTGGACGTGGGTTACGCGAGACGAAAAATTTGGTTATTAGCTTCTTTGTATCAACTTGAGCAAAGTCCTCCTCGATCTCTCCAGCCTCCTGAGAAAATGAAATCAAAATCATTAGCAAAGAGACCAAAAATTAAGCAATGGAAAACCACAAAAACTGATCCCAACTTGCATTTACTCAAAGCAACTATATACCCAAATAAAGTTATGATTTTCACTTTTACTTGACTACATTGACGTACTATTGTCTTCATCAAATCATCAATTGCAACTTGTATATATCAGAGGCTGAGCTAATTTGAGCTATGTATAGGTAGGTCAAGGTGGATACTCTCTTTCTCTATAGATTCAAGCAGAAATTAATGTTGGCTGGGAAATATCCCATTTTTTTTATACAGTGTCACATAAAAGCTCAACTTTCTTGAAGCTGCATCAAGAATTCCTCAAATCAGTTCAATAACTTCACACAACTAAACACCAAACAAGCATTGCCTATAACCAATTTTGCCTCAAGTCTTGTTAGCAATAAAACAATCCTGAACAGTAATCATCAAAGCTTTCATTGAGTTTCATAAACCCTAAGTATATATTTCATCTCAACCACTGGAAACTTCAACAACCTTAATTTTCGTTTCAATTTTAGTTTTCATAAGTTTAAAGTCTCACCTGAAACCTGCAAATGTAGTAATCGTCGCCGAACAAAGCCCTAAACGCATCAACAGGCTTCAAAGTAGGATTCCTCGGATTAAACACAACGCTAGTGTTGACCAACGCGCTGACTCGATCAGGCCGGATCATACAAAGCCACCACGCGATAATCGCTCCCCAATCGTGACCAACGAGGAAAACCCGGTCAACACCGAGCGAATCCAGCAATCCGACGAGGTCTCCAACGATATGAAGGATGCTGTAAGATTCAGGAGACGGCGGCGCATCGGAATCTCCATAACCTCGGAGATCCGGAGCGATTGCGCGGTAACCTAAGGTGGCGAAGGAGAGGAGCTGGTGACGCCATGAGTACCAGAGATCGGGAAATCCATGGAGGAAGAGGATCACTGGACCTGAACCGATCGAAGCCACATGCATGTTTATGCCATTGGTAGATACCGTCGTGTGCTCTATCTTCTCCATTGCTTTTTTCTTCTCAGTTCATAACGCTCAGGTCTGAGTGTGAAGGCCGAAGGGTGAGTAGAGGTTTTTTCTTTATGGGTACCAAAAACAAATAAATTACAATATTGCCACCAATGTGTAAATCATATATATAAAAGTAAGGTTTCACTCTCTCATTATTGGTGGAAAAATATTTAAAGCTTTAATTTTTCCAAAAAAAAAATGTTTATGACAATCATTCAATGTAAAATTTAATTACACTATAAGTTATAATCAAATGACAAAGAAAATGAAAAGACTTAATCATATATCATTCAACAAAATAAATAAATAAATAAATGTTTATGACAATCATTCAATACAAAATTTAATTACACTATAAATTAAGTTATAATCAAATGGCAAAGAAAATGAAAGGACTTAATCATATATCATACAACAAATTTTACAAGGCTTATTGGTGGAAAATTATTTAAAATCATATATATAAAAGTAAGGTTTCACTCTCTTTATTATTCCATTTTGTCTTTATTTTTTAAAATATAATATTTATATTTAACCAAAAAAACACATTTAATCATATACATTAATTCATACTTTAAATTCACACTTTACTACTAAAATGAAACTGAAAATTATATAAATTTCCAAAGACTATTGGTTTTCTTTATTGAATTCCAATTAAACACACTATAAATTATAATTATAACTCCTCTAATTTAATTATTTTAAAAATATAACTTACGTCACTTCTTATCATATAAATAGCCATTCTCACATCTTTCTCTACCATATCTCATATCTTCATTATTCTCTTTGTTTTTTTTTAAGTTC